TTTCTAGAGGGTGCCAAGGGAAGTTCCTGGTGTGTGGGAGTTGAGAAAAAGAGGGAGAGTGTGAATGAGTGTGTGTATACGTGTGTGTGTGTGTGTGTGTGTGTGTGTGTGTGTGTCCACTCTCAGGAAGGTTTGAGAGAGAGCATTGGGCAGCTGACCTAAATCTCAGCTCAAAGGCTAGAAAACTGTAGGCTTTTGTGCCTGGGGGTTTTCTCCTCCCTGGTTTTTATTTCCATGCACATTTGGTTATGAATAGCCTTGGAGACCAGAGCGCCAGGAAAACAGCTGTTCTCATGGTATTTCTGGTCTGCCGGCCGGACGAGGGCAGGTTGGGCTTCCCCCAACTCTCCTGTTCTCACACGACGGTCATCTCTCTGCAACCCCCGCCCCAGCCCCACGCCAGAGCTGGTGACTTGGTCAGAATTTCACAAACGTACCTGATCCCAGCCTCCTTAGACTGTGGACATTTTACACACAGGTTCATAATCTATTATAAAATTGTTTTTGTTTTCCCTCTTCCAGAGAGATCTGGGTTGCTGATGTTTTAAAATCCATAACAATGACGTAAGAGTTACTAATGAAGTAGGGGAAATTTTTCGTTTTAGTTTCACATAAAATCATCTTGAAATCCCTGCCCAGCTGTTACCTCTCATCCTCAGTTTCCTGTATTCAGTTCTCACCTCGCTACCTTTTGGCAGCTATCCTTTCTCTTAAAGAGACCTTTCTATATCCAGGCCAAATCGGGCTAACTTCTGGCTCCTGCATCTTTAAATTGACCCTGAAATCTTAGGAAACGTGGAGAAAGTACTTTGAAGATGAAAAAAAGCTTTTTAAAAAAAGTATTCATAGATAGATTCATTAGTAGTATTGTTAGGTGCCACTGGATCTATTGCATTAGTAATAGATAATGCAGTTACATTAAAAAATAATAATAACTCAAAACTCATGACCATCCAGCCCATTCTGACTCACAGCGACCCTCTAGGACAGGGTAGAATATCCCCTATGGGTTTCTGAGACTGTAACTCTTTACAGGACTAGAAAGCCTCCTCTTTCTCCTGTGGAGCAGCTGGTGGTTTGGAACTGCTGACCTTGGAGCTAACAGCCCAAGGAGTCACCCACTACACCACCATGCTCCTTGCTATTACATTAAAACAGATCATCCTACATTCATAAGCAAAGGGGAGCTTGCCATCCCTCCTACAGTTAAGCATCTTAAGCTCTCTGGAGAAGCACCCTTCCATAAATCTAACAAGAAAGAAAAGCAAAGAAGTCAATGAAAGACCCACGGCCCCTGGCTGAGGCCTAAGAGGATTTTATCACTCCCAGCATCTCCTAAGGACCAAGGGGCCAAACTCCTTTTCGGTGATGCCCGGCTCCTTTCTCAGGTTAGGAAACAGCTGGGCGTCCCCTGGCAGTCCTGTGCCTGCAAGGTCCACACTTCCACGGCCACCGCTTCATCTCCGGGACTGAAATAGGCCCGCTCACTCTCAGAGTCTCCAGATCAGGTTTCATCCCACTGGAGAGCGCAGCAACTGGGAAATCTCCATATAAGGCTGGGGTCTTCCTGGGGTCCTCCTGGGAGACTATTTCAGGAGTGTTTTCAGAGACTATTTCCCCCAGAAACTCTGTGTGGCGAGTAGGATGCGCTCAGTCACCCTCGCCGGCAGCTTGATCGCACTGTTCACGCTTGAAAACCCAGCGTGGGGCTCCCGGGGGCAGCCTGGTGCAGGATGGGGCAGATCTTTGGTTCGGCTTTGGTGCTTCCTTAGGGTCCCTCGGACTCACCACAGCAACGGCGATACTCACTCCCGGAAGGTGCACCAGTGCCAACCATGTTTAAAAGTACGAGGTCTCCCCTAAAACGTCGCCCGGAGAGTCTCCCTGTCAGATTCATTTCCCCAACCCTGACTCTTCTTGGATGTGTGCACCTGGCTGGTAGTGCCAGTGAACTGCTTGGTCTTAGTGTCTCTGGAAGGAGTCCTGGGCCCGCAGGGTTGTAGGACCGCGGGCTGCTGGCCCCAGGGTCGGGCTTTCGAGCCCACGGGAGAAACACGAGGCCTTGGCTCCCCGGAGCGAACGCGCCAGCCTCGGACGCGCACAGGGCCAGGTATGTCCCGGAGGACAGGACCCCGGAACTCACGGTCGGCGTCAGGGCAATGTTGACCCCAGGGCAGGACTGTCCTGAGTTTTACTATTTGCGATGCTTAGAGGGGAACGAGGGGCATGGGAGACTCCGTGGACTAGAAGCAGCAGGCTCGCTCCCCTCCTTTCCTCCGCTTCCCTTTTGGCCAAGGTTCACAGCGACCATAATGGCTAGGAGAGGAACTGGCTCATCAACACAGCGCCTATCTTCGTAATACCAACCTATCAGTCCGTATCAATAAGGGTCGTTCATGAGAGACAGCCCTGACGTGCAGAGTAGGAGGCCTTGTCACAGACTGAGTGGGAATGGCTGCGCTGACCCCCACGAAGAAGCTCCCCAGGGAGAGACACACAGAGTGGGCCCCTCAGAACCTGCCCAGCTGCCTCGGCGGTGTGGTTTCTGACTCTGTTGCCTGTCCCGCAGCGGAATACACGGTCACGGTGCTCGTCCAGATGTTGCTCCTGCTGTTTCTCCTGCCTTGACAAGTGCCTGCGCCCTCTCAACCAGGTATGTCCCCCGCTGAGGGCCGCAGGAGCCCACAGATAGGCAAGAGGGTGGGCGCTGTCGCTCAGCTCCAGGAATCCTCCAATCACGGGCCAAACCGTGTACAGGTCTCGGGTTTTGTGGACCACAGTCTCTCTTGCAGTTGCTCCAGCGCTGCTGTCGTAGAAGGAAAGCTACGATAGAAGAACAGGAGTAACGCTGCCAAATCTGAATTTTATATTGTTTTCATGTGTCAGGAAATCTCCTTCTTTTGCTTGCTAAAGCCATTTGAAATGTAAAAATAATCTTCACTCAAGGCCACAAGAGAACAGGGGTGCCGGCTGGATTCGATCCCCATGCTGTGGTTTGCGGGCTCCACTTTAGGACTTAAGATTATTTAGGACCCTCTTCCAATTCCAGGAAAAAGAAAGCAGGCGTTTCCCTTTTGTGGAGTAGAAAGGGAATGAAAGGCATTAACATCCCTGGCATAATGAGTATATATCAACTGAGAGCCAATTTTCAGTGCCATCTCTGAGAACTGTAATTTTCCTGAAATAGGATCATTATCTGCCTAATTTTGATATATTTTACACCAGCCTTTCTCTTTCAAGTTATAAATAGCCCCTGTAAAAAAAAAAATTATAGACTGCGATTGTTTGAATCTCAGATTTCTGTTCTCTTCTAAGTCTTTCCAGCTGATGGAAGCTTAAATCTGTGTTTTATTTTTCTGTCGAAAATGAAGAAATTTTAATAGCCCTTTGTCAAATTTAAAGAAAACGGTTATTGTAAGTCAGCAGGCTGTCTCAACATTGTAAATGCTCACAGGAATTTCTCTGTGGAAAAGACATTCTCCTTTTCCTTCTTCCTCCGAAATCAGGCACTGATGGACCATCCGTGTTTAATGGCCTGTAAGTGGTACTTAGGGTACCTTTTGTTCTGTTGGGGGAAACGCAGCCTTCTTATCGTAAAACACTATTATTAAGGCACTTCTTGAGAGAAGAATCCTGGGGAGCAGTGTAGAGTGCATTGAGTCTGCATGTGCATTGCGACAAGCCAGCACACATACAATGCCCAGAGGTGGTCCAGGGGTGGAATTCTCACATACACCTTAGAGAGTATGGATGCTGTGGGGACCACCACTGCAGCAAGGGGCAGAAATGGGAGAGGGCGGAGAGGGAGTGCTCAGGCTGCCTGCCAACCTCACCCCAGCCTGCCTTTCAACCTCAAGAGCTCTGCTGGCTTACGGTTCAGTTCCTGAACAATGTTCCTCATACAGGACGACCACCCATCTGTCAGTGAAGCCGAACCAGTTTCAGAAGGGCTTCCAGACTAACACAGACTAGGAGGAAAGGCCTCAGGTTTCCCAAAATCAGCCAGTGAAAACCCTCCACCTCCACCTGGGGATGGCGCCGGGCAGGGCAGGGTTTTGCTTCTCTGTGAAGGGGGTCACCATGAATCGGAGACTTATTTGACAGCTGCTAACAAGCTAACAACCACCACCAAAAAATGACCACTGCCCCTTTCAGCACGCTGGGAAATACAGCAAGTGGAGCCAAGCCCCACGAAGACTCCTCTCAAGGAGTCCTCGCCCATGCCTCTCCTCTACGTGCCTGTACCCAGTCTCTGCTTAGGCCACAAAGGTTTTCAGACACATTAGGCAATGCCGTTACCATGATAAGATTTAAACAGCAACCACACACGAAAACCAGGGCTACACAAACATACTGAAAGCCTAGAAATGTGAGAGCAGTGGGAGCCAGTGGTAACACAGGTAGGTCCGCCAGGTCAGCCTACACCACCCTGCGAGGGACCGGCCATCTCCTGCCTTTCATTGCTGCGTGGAAGCCTGGGGTCTCCTTGTGGATCCTGGAGGCACCACTGCTTCAGGAGGGGAGATCAGTGGGAAAGAGGGGCAGGGCTCTGGCTTGATACCAGCCCCACCCCACCCCACCTTTCAACTGGAGAAACTATGGGGCTCGGGGTAGGCACCCACTGAAGCTTTCATAGGAAGACCGGCTTCTGCTGGTCCAGTGCGTTTGAAAGCGCCGGCTCCTTGTCATTGTCACGCTGGTGTCCTCTGCCCGGTTCTCGGCAGGGGCGTGCATTCTGAAGGGGGCCTTCTGAAGTTCCGCCCGTATGGGCCCACATAGAAGGACAATGACGAGGACGGCGCAGGACCAGGCAGTGTTCATTCCGTTTGTTGCGCCTGGGGTCGCTCTGAGTCGGAACTGGCTCGGAGGCCCCTTCCCAGAACAACCAACAGCTTGCTCACTGCCCAGTTCTAACTTATAGCGACCCTCTGGGACAGTCGAACTGCCCCTGCGAGGTTCCAGGAGTACACGTTTTTGTGGGAGTAGAAATCCTCCTCTTCCCACAGAAGCAGCTGGTTGCTTTGAACTATGTACCTTGTGGTTAGCAGCTCAACATGTACCCAACCAACTACACCACCAGGGCTCCTTGTGGATGCCATATAAGGTCGCTGGAATCGGCTCTGCCGCTGAGGCTCTATTAACCCGGGGCCTTCTCTCTCGGGGGTCAAAAATGTTTCCAAGATAACAGTAGTGTTACTACTAGCTGCACTATCATTGTCATTGTGAAGGTGTTGCATCCTTACAACTGGCACGCTTGCCTCTGAATCGCAAAACTGGCCTTGAGATCCAACTCCCACAGTGAACCAGTGGCTCTCACAGCGTCGGTCTCTTGGATTCTGATCATGGTGCCTGTACACTGGGCCCTGCCTTCAACTGGCTGTCCTGGCCTCTTAACTTTGCCATAACGCCTTGGAAACTAAACCCAGCCGACAGTGGCCCATGCCTATGGTTCAGAAAGAAGAGAAGAAAGAACAAAAGAAAAAGCAAATGGAGGAGAAAAGGGTCCCCTTGGGTCTAAATTGAATACTGAAAAACAGAATGGGGAAACTCCCCCCAAAAAAAAGAGTGAGAGAGAGAGAGATACTTTAAAAATAAAGATGGCTATTGTACAACGCTGATCAAATCTAGTCCCAGTCTCATTTGGCAGTCGACAAAGGAAATACACTTCAAAATGCGTGAGGAAAGGAATTTAGATTTGCCTCTTGAAAAATCCCCTGGCATTGGAATGAGTTAGTAGGGGAGGTTTGGGCATTTTCGCCTCTGGAAATTGGATCTAAACGGGTCGAGGCCTATTGGGCTTCCTTACTTGAGGGGATTGACACAGGGAGGTGCACAGAGGGAATGGCGTCCCTTGGTTTCCATCAGAGCCTCGATGAGTCTCTTCATTTCGTGTCGAGGAGCTGCTTGTGTTTTGCCATTGCTCCTTGAAAGCCTAATCTGTCTTCCCGGAGCTCAGGGAGGGTGGCAGGTGGCGGTCGCTCCACCCTGTAGGCACCGACCTTAGGCTGCTCACCTGAGCAGGAGGTGGCACCCGCTCATATTTCTCATTACCTGTCTCTGCCAGGGGTGCGCCCCTGCCAGCACATCTGTTCACTCAACAGTGGTCTGTTTCTTGCTTATTGCAGTTATACGATTTGTGTACTGAACCTGTACAGAACAGGGAGGGGACCATGGTGATCCTGAGCAGGGGTGAAGCGCCGGCTCTGCCTTCTGGGTGACAAACTAGGGGCGTGTAGGGACGAGAGAAACAGAGGAGATATTTGCGTAACAGTGCCGAAGAGTGGCGGGATGAGGGCCACTGTTGTTCAGAGAAGGGAATCATGTTTGATTTGGGGTCTTCGTGTCCTAGGGCAGCTGTTAACAGAAATACCACAAGTGGGCATCCTTAAAGACCAGAAATATATTTACAACAGTTTCTAACAGCTGGAAGTCCAGGTCGGGCTTTGAGTTCTGGCCATCCCTATGGTGGTTGTTCCTGACATCCCCCGGTCCCTTGGTTTCATCTGGTCTGCTCCTGAGTGTACACTGCGTCTCCTCTGCTCCTTTTGTTGCTCAGAAGTGATTAGTTCTAGAACCCACCTTACTAGGGCAGCCGTTCTCAGCCTGTGGGTTGTGATCCCTTTGGGGGGATCGAATGACCCTTTCACAGGGGTCACCCAATTCATAACAGTAGCAAAATGACCGTCATGAAGTAGCAACGAAGATAATTTTATGGTTGGGGGTCACCACAACATGAGGAACTGTATTAAAGGGTCCTGACATTAGGAAGGTTGAGAACCACTGCTTTAGAGGAAGGTCAATTAGACAATAGTCACTGTGTTTGATATATTAGAAACAGGCAGACTTCTCTTCTCTGGGCATATTATGTTTATCTTTGAAAAACCCCTGGCCACTTCTGCCGGACTTAAAGCAATTGTTCTGTCAATACTTTTAGCTCTTTGGACACTTTCTGGAATTGCATCATTCTCTTATACTGTTCTGTGGGAATTTGGAGCATAACACAAAGCTGTAGTGAATGACAGCGTGTCCACCCTCTTGTTTGGCCCCTTCGCTCTTGATGGTCTATGTTTGTTTACTGAAGTAACAAATACAAGTGAATAAAAATGTAGAATTTCATCAAAAATAGAATGAGGTTTATGAAGTGAATAAATAACTCATATTCCATCTAATTTTTATACCTATGGACAACGTGACCATTTCTATGGATGCTTAGAATACACTGTTGTGCAGCTGAACATTAAAAAAGAGTAAGAATATTAAACTTGTGATTTCCACATTAGAGAGAACCCTAATGACAAGTGCCGTTTTCACAACCGGTTCTCCAAACTCAACGAAAAAAAATTAGGCCTTGGTTCTGCTGACTCTGTGCCGACCAGCTGTTCTGGGCCCTGGCGACTGCGCAGTAGAACTGCCCCACGGGCCTTCCCTCTTTGAGGAAGTGGACTGACCGCGCCACCTTTCTCCTTAGAGCAGAGCGCCCGGTGAGCTTTTCCAATTAGCAACTGGTGCTCAACCACCGCGCCACCAGGGCTCCTTCCCTTTTCCACAACAGGCGTTCCAAGGTGGCACAAGCAGTGAAGCACTTGCCTGCTCACCCAGAGGCATGTTGGCAGCGAGACCCCGCGAGCCAAAATGGTCACCGCCCCGGCAAGC